ATCTCCAAGAGATGGTGATGGTCATTGTCAGTGTTACGTGTTCTCTCCTAGTGTTCCTCCCCACTAGCTGGGGACTAAACCAACAGCCTTTGCACTGAGCTACATCCCTTGTCTTTTATTTTTTGAGAAGGTGTTTCGCTAAGTTGCCCAGTCTGGGATTGAACTTGTGGTCCTCCTGCCTCAGCCTCCAATAGTACTGTGCTTAACAGGTGTGTGCAAAGTCCTTTCCTGCCTTCTGTACAAAATATGAGCTTGTTTGATGCTTCATATGAGAATGGCCTGTGCCATCCCAGAACCTGCTCTCAATCTACAAGCAGCTGTCCTGGATATAAGAAATTGCAGGTATTCAAGTGGTGGCACGCGTCGTTGTGAACCTCAATCAGGTTATTTAGGATAGATCTAAAGTTTTGCTCTTATGTAAATAATAGAGCTGGGAGTGGTGGTGCACACTTGTACCAGTATTTGGGAAGCTGAGGTAGGATAATCACTGGGAGTTCAGGCCAGGCTGAACTACAGAGGGAGACCCTGTCTCAAAAAAAAAAAGAGGGACCGGGAATTTAGCTTAGTGGTTCCGCCGCCTGCCTTGCAAGCACAGGGTCCCAAATTCAATCCCCAATACCAAAAAAACAGAAAGGAAAGAGAGCATGGTAGTGGATTTATGATGGGTCCTTCTGCGTGGGCCTCTCATAGTGTAACCATGCGAGAGCAAGGTGCAGCCTCGAACCATTGCCCAGCCTCGCTGCTGTGGGCTGCGAGCACTGAAGGAGGTCGCACAGATTGTACAGAAAGGGCCCACGGGCTGGCTGTGCTGGTGCAGGCCTGTAATCCCAACCCCATGGGAGGCTGAGGTGGGTGGATTGCAAGTTTGAGCCCAATTTGGGCAAATTAGTGAGACTCTAACTCAATACAAACTTTAGGAAGGCCCTGGGTTCAATCTCTGGCAACAAACAATAAAAACAGGGAACATGGAGTAAATTCTGTTTATAGTTCCTAGTCAGAATTACCTTTATGTTTAGACAGATTTGCAGTTCCTGAGCTTTGAGCTGCTACAGCCCTTTGTAATTGGAAACATGCCAGAGAGGTTGAGAGTTGGGTTCCGAATCCTTTCTGTTTCTTGCGTTGTTTCATCTTGGGGTTTAACTTGACTTATTTGGCCAGGTGTGGTGGTGCTACACCTGTGATCCCAGCACTTGGGAGCCTGAGTGAGGCAGGAGGATTCCCACAAGTCGAGGCCAGCCTGGACTACACAGCAGCAAGACCTTGTCTCATTCATTTGTTTATTTGAAACAATAAGTGGCTTGTGAACTAGGATGCAGGTGATGTTGCTGGGTTATGTGGGAAGATGAAGGACCAGAAGGTGAGAGACAGGATATATCATTGTTAAAGTGTATTCTGATCCCTTATTCATTATTTGGACAGCCACACTCTTTTTCCCTCTTTGGAGTGTTTTGATTGGGGTGGAAAGACAATGAAAAAGAACAGATGAAAATCACATTTGAACATGGTGAAGATGTGTAAGCGTGGTGACACACGAGTGTAACCAATCCTAGCACTCCAGGAAGCTGGGGCAGGCAGAAGGGTCACACGTTTCCCCCTACCCTGGGCAACTTAAGTTTAGCAAGGCCCTCACTCAAAAAAAATTGGCGGGGGGCCAATATGAGCAAAATCTGTTGAGCATAGGGCCGGGGATTTAGCTCAGTGGTTCCGCTGCCTGCCTCGCCAACCACAAGGTCCTGAGTTCAGTCCCTGGTACCAAAAAAAATTTTTTTTGAGCACATTGGTGTCCTGTCCCATCCCTGGCGACCTGGTGTGACCCTGGGGAGGGGAGGCCCAAAGCCAGGGTCCTGTGGAGATTCAGGGCCCAGGGACAGTGCACTGGCAGTTCCAAGTTTCCTTCAAGAGGACTGGCGGGCAGATGAGTCAGTGCGCGGTAAATGTATCTTCAGCTCCAACAAAGTCTTGGAAGAGGCCCGCTTCAATGCAGGCATTTGTACTTTGCATTTTGGGCTGTTCTGGGTGGGACTCTGCCCATGAGGGGTGCAGGGGCCCCTGCCCAGTCCTGTGTTGGGCTGGGGTGGCCTCCCCAGAAGCTGCCCACAAGTTCTGTGCTGGCCTTTGCCCTCCCAAAAGAGTGTACAGAGTTGCACTTGCAAGAAAATGCTGGCCCTTGAAAGTGGTGACCTTTGCCTTCTCTCCCTTGCTCCCTGGAAAGCAAAGCTCCTCCCAGGTGTGAGGTGCTGGGGTGACAGGTTAATGACTGTTCCTCTTCCCCTCAGTGCATCCTGCAGTGGTGATCCGACAGCGGAAGTCATACCGGAGAAAAGACGGGGTGTTTCTTTATTTTGAAGACAATGCCGGGGTCATAGTGAACAACAAAGGCGAGATGAAGGGTGAGCAGGGTCCTGAGCTGCCCGCAGCTTCTGAGAGTGGGTGGTTCAGCTCCAGTTGACCTCTGACCTATCCCACCTTTTCCTGCAGGTTCTGCCATCACAGGGCCAGTGGCAAAGGAATGCGCTGACCTGTGGCCGAGGATCGCGTCCAATGCAGGCAGCATTGCCTGATCTGCATGTATTTGTACAAAATAAACAGCTGTTAACAAGTGTCTGCTCCCGGGTTGCCTTTCTGTTCCTTTCCACCCCGTAGCCGCTGCCTTCTTAGCAAAGTGCACCCTTAGGGCCCGCACAAGGAGAGATGGGGTCCTTGGGGGGTCTGAGGCTCTATGGTTAGCTCTATGGCCAGAAGATGGGTTTGCCTCTGGGAGCTCCGAACCTTTGGGACTGGCCATTTACTGTTTCGCTTCTGCTGTAAAAAACTAGTCCTGAGGGTGTTGAGGCTGTAACTTAAATTTCACAGTAAATATGCTTGATGGATGTCCTGCTGCAGGAAGGCGTGTGGTTAGGCAGAGGCTGGGTGTAGGCTCCAGGTAACCTTGTGGCTAGATGGGGCAGGTGCGTGTATGTGTGTGCACAGTTGAGCACTTAGCAGGTTTTCTTGGGCAAATTGTGTAAATGAATATTTATAAGCTTTACCCACACATAATGGCACCCACCTGTAATCCCAGCACTCAGAAGGCTGAGGCAGGATCGCTGCAAGTTCCAGGCCAGCCTGGACTATAAGACTGTCTAAAAAAGTTCATAAGCTTTTTTTTTTTTTTTTTTTGGTACCAGGGATTGAACTCGGGACCATGCGCTTGCAAGGCAGGCGCCGGAACCACTGAGCTAAATCCCCAGCCCAAGTTCATAAGCTTTTAACATGGGATTGCCATGTAAATTTGTCTCGGAAGTGAAAGATTTAGGATAACAGTATCTGCAGGTTGGGCTGTCTGTAAACTGTAGTTTAAGAATGGAAGAAATGGTGAATTCTACCAGTTTAACAGCTTAAAACCTAGCAAAGCTAAAGTGTGTGGCCACTGAGCCCCCCCCAGCCCTGGGTGACCACTGCTCCTTTCCCCTCGCAGAATGTACCAGAAGTAGAAAACTAGTTTTTCAGAATGTTCCCTGGCCACAGCCCAACCCCACCACTGTTAAGTTAGAACCCAAGCACGAGGATTGGTTTTTTGTGGGTTTTTTTGTATGGGGATGGAACTTGGGTCCTTGCGCTTGCACGGCAGGCAGCAGAACCACTAAGCTACATCCCAGGCCCAATTTTACTTTTTTAAAAGAGCCTTGGGCTGAGGATGTAGCTCAGTAGTTTCGCCAACTGCTGCACAAGCGCAAGGACCTGAGTTTGATCCCCGGTACCCCCCCAAAAAAAAATTCACAGTAGCTCAGGCTGGCTTAGACTGGTGGCAATCCCGTCTCAGCCTCCCAGTGAGGCTGGGGTCACAGGCATGCTTCACCTTTTCTAGCTCGATAAAGATTTGATAGAAGGCCATTGGGCTGTGGACTTCACAGGTTTGATTTGCTTCCATGTCCTGTAGGGTTAAATATCCTAAGATTCCCAGTGATCATTTTTCTAAATAGGCATGAAGGAACGTTTTTGTCCTTTGAAAAGTAACACGAGAGTCCTCTTAATAAAAATACCAGTGAATATAAAAGTAAATCCTTCCCTGCATGTTTCATTTGCCAAATGAGGTTAATTAGCACCTTACAGGGGAAGGTGAATTGGCTGCTCTGATACAAGAGCACTCCAAGGTTACTGACCAAAGCGTCACCTGCAGCCATAACAACCAGGGGAAACTTCCCATTTTGCCATATCCTACCAAGTACATAGGTGGGTATAAAGTCAGGCATGGAGGCCTGGGGATGTAGCTCTGGTTCTGCTGCCTGCCTCCAAAGTGCAAGGACCCAAGTTTGATCCCTGGTACAAAAAAAACCCCAAAAGTCAGACAGTGACACGTGTCCACCTAGTGTTTCCAGGGTTTTTTTGTTTTTGTTTCTGGTACCAGGGATCAAACTCGGGACCTTACCCTTGCAAGGCAGGCGCTGTGCCACTGAGTTACATCCCCGGCCCTCCTGTTTGCAGATTGTTTGCAGATTTAATGAGACCAGTGGGGAAGGCCCGGGCAGAGTGGGAGGGCGGGCTGGCCAGAGGTCTGTCCTGGCTCTGCGCAACTGGATGTGGAGAGGCTGCAGGCTTCCCTCTAAATCTAAAATGACCTGTAATGGCGGATCTGGTGGCCCACGCCTGTTACACCAGCTGGGAAGCTGAGGCAGAAGGGTTGCAAATTCAATCCCAGCCTGGGCAGTTTAATGACTTAATGAGGTCCTGTCTCTAAAAGGTCTGGGGGTGCAGCTCAGTGCCAAGGCCCCGGGTTCGATCCCCAGCACCGCTAAATGAGTTATAAACATGCTCCAAACGAGTCAGTTCTGGGTACCAGCTTTCAAGGGACCTCAGGAGACGCGAGGGAGCAGACAGCGACAGCCCCTCCCGCCGCTCGGAAGGAAAGCTGGGGCCCGGTGGTGCTCCAAGCACCCCACCTCCACCTCCTGCCTCCGTCACACCCCCACACCCTTAGGACACGGCCACCCCACGCAGCACGCAGCAGACGCCACAATAGGGTTCGCGTCGCACAGGAGCCTTGACGTAACAAGGGCAGGGACACCTGGGCCCCCGTGCACAGCAGCGTTCGGAGGGCAGCATGGCGCGGTCGACCTCGTATCTGCGGCGGGAGAAGGGCTTCGTGCTGGACTGCGTGGCGGTGAGCTCCGTGGCCCGCGCCTACGGCAGCGTGCGGCCCAAGCTGTGGTCGGCGATCCCGCCCTATAACGCGCAGCTGGACCCGCACGCCTGGCGCTACTTCCACAGCCGCCCGGTGCCGCCGGTGCTGCGCAGGACCGGCCAGGTGCGGGGGCAGGGACACCAGGACCCAGTCAGCCACGGCTGGAGGACATCAGGCTAACCCCACACCTCCCCCAGGGAATCTGTGTCAGCCCTGTAGGATGACCTCAGCTGCAAATCCTCCAAAAAAAACCCCTTGTGACCTGATTGAGCAAGACAAAGGGAATTGTCTTCCCCCTCCCATACTGGGGATTGAACCCAGGGCCTTCACACTGAGCCACACCTGCAGCCCTTTTAAAATTTTTATTTTGAGAAAGGGCCCCCTAAATCACAAAATTGCCCTGGCTAGGCTTGAATTGGTGATCCCCTGCCTCAACCAGTCAGTGCTGGGGTCATAGGCCTTGCGCTACCATCATAGGGTTACTTTTTGTTTGGTTTTTTGGTACTGGGGATCAAACTCAAGACCTTGGGCTTTCAAGGCAGGTGAGGTGCTACTGAGCTAAATCCCTGGCCCTGTTTTGTTCTGTTCTTTGAGACAGGGTCTCACTATGTAGCCCAGGGTGACCTTGAACTCCAAGTGATTCTCCTGCTTCAGCCTCCCCAGTGCTTGATTACTGGCAGGCGCCACCACACCTGGCTAAACTTCAGTTTTGTGTCAAATTAATCCTTTCTACATAGATCATCACTGGACCTGACAAATATGGCTGCAATTCAGCAAAAAAAACCTCACTGAATGCATGACGTTATTTTGTGTGGCATGGAGAAGATTTACTCCATCTCCATTTACCTATGACGTTGATCCCCTGCCATACAAGATGAGCCCCTAGAGTTTGCTGGGTGCCCCTGGGCATTTCTTTTTGGGGTTTTTTTGGGGGGTTTTTTTTGGTACTGGGGATCAAACTTGGGTCTCTACACTTTGGAGGCAGGCAGCGGAACCACTGAGCTAAATCCCCAGCCCCAGCCCCTGGGGATTTTGATGACTGTCTTCTGTACTTTCTATGCATTTGCAGGACCATGGCGGTACAGGAAGGGATGGCTGGATAGTGGACTACTTCCACATTTTTGGGCAGGGACAGCAATACCTCGACAGGAGAAACCGGGCGGGCGCAGGTAAGTGCTACCTCACTGTGCAGATGCGGTACCCGGAGAAAGAGGGTGTGCACCCCACAGTTCAGAGAAAACTCAGGAGGCCAGGTCTGGGGGGAGAGGTAAGGGGTTGCATCCTCCCAGCTCTTCTCACGTGGCATGGCTGATGCCACAGAGCTCCTAATATTCCCTTACTGGGGCCGGGGATTTAGCTCAGTAATGCAAAGACTCGAGTTCGATCCCCAGCACCAAAAAAAAAAAAAAAAAGAGTGGCAAGGGCAGGTGGAGAGAGTGTTTTGGCAGCGTGCCATCCTCCCACCCCAATGGCATGGCTCTTTGACCACACACATCAGTCACGTGACTCGGTGCCTCCTATGACCAAGTCGACCTCCTCCCGTTCCCTGAGGTGAGGGTGAGCGAGCTAGCAAGTGCTCCTCCAGTCTCCTGGGTCCCTGGCAAGTTCAACCACTGCCCCGATGCTTCTGTGCTTCCTGTCCCAGCACGCACCATTCCCTGGTGCTGCTGGAACTCGGCCTGGTGTGGGGTTTGATTTGTGGGATGTCTCTGACTCCAGAACTTCACCAGCCCTGGGGTTATCAGTCAAAAGGCTCAGGCGTTTTGAGGAGAGTGGGTTTTTTTTGTTTTGTTTTGGCCGGGGGGAGGGGGGTGTGTGTGGTACGGGGGAACAAACTTTGGACCTTTCGCTCAAGAGGCAGGCATGGTGCCACTGAGCTAAATCCCCGGCCCCAAGAGTGGTTTGTTTTTGAGACAGGGTCTCGCTATGTAGTCCAGGCTGGCCTCAAACTCATGGCAATCCTCCTGCCTCAGCCTCCCAAGTGCTGGGATGACAGTTGTGCATCACCACGCCCCACATGAGTGTGGAGTCTGGGCATGGGGAGCGGCAGCCTGCGGGAGTGGGGACAGCAAGAGGGCACTGCCAGTGGGCTCAGCCTCCCTCCTTGTCCCCAAGGGCACTCCCTCCAGCAGGTCATGGGCCATGACTACTGGAATGCGAATCCGAAGCCGCCCCCCGGGCTCAATGGCCGGTTTGGCTACCGCAGGAACACCCCAGCCCTCCGCCAGCGCCCCTCGGTGTTCGGAGAAGTCACCCCATTCCCTCTCTACTGACAGCACTGCTGCCCTTCACAGCCGTTCACCTGAATTTCTCGGACAGAGGTTTAGAGGAACTCTTGATATTATTTTATATTAAAACAGTTCTATTTGTGTCTCCCTGTGTGCTGTATTTTTTGTTTTGTTGTTGTTTGAGGGGGAGGGGGCTGAGACATGGTCTCATTACGTTTTCCAGGCTGGCCTTGAACTCTCAGTGATCCTCCTGCCTCAGCCTCCTGAGTGCTGGGATCACAGGTGTGCAGGTTGTTTTGCGGCAGCAGAGACTGAACTGGGCCCTTACACAAGCTACACCCCAGTCCTGGGACCATGCACAACCCTCATCAAAGTGCTCACTCAGGTGTCAGCAGGGCTCAGGTCAGAAGCTGTCTACTGTTTCCATCCAGAACAGAGCAGGCAGGAGTCCACAGGGATTGGCCCTTGGTCGCCCCAGGAAAGATTTCCTGACATATGGAATCATTCCATACAAAAAACTGACATCTTGGCACGGTGTGGTGGCACACACCTGTAATCCAGAGGCAGGAGGCAGGAGGATCTCTAGTTGTTCAGCACCAGCCTGAACTGCATAGTGAGACTCTATCTCAAAGTCAAACAAAAAATAAACAAAGGCCTGGGGATTTAGCTCAGTGGTTCCACAGCCTGCCTCAAAAGCACAAGGTCCTGAGTTCGATCCCCAGTACCAAAAAAAAAAAAAGAATTTCTGGGGACTGGAGATTTAGCTCAGTGGTGCCACCGCCTGCCTTCCGAGCGCAAGGTCCTGAGTTCAATCCCCAGTACCAAAAAGAAAACAGAAACCAAAACTAGACCCACAAACCATGACATCTCATTTTTTTCACCCTCAATTCATTTTTTTCCATAAATATAGAATTTTTATTTCTAATTTATCCTCTCAAGGCAAGCAAGAAACCTGACTAAAAGCTTTTTATTTGGGACTTAGTAATAAACATGTAAATATATATTTATACTGGAGATGCTTTCTGATAGAAAGTAAACAAGTAATTTTGGTCTTCATCAGCATCCATCATTATGTGTCCATTTTTGAAGATGATGTGATGTATCATGCTCAGTTAAATGTTAAGATTCCTGGGGCCAGGGTTTTAGCTCAGTGGTTCTGCTGCCTGCTTCGAAAGCATAAGGTCCTGAGTTCGATCCCCAATATGGAAAAAAAAAAAAAAGAAAGATTCCTTTCATACACGTAATTCAAATGAGGTAATAATTTTTCTTGTATCAATAATGTTTTATTCTGTATTTACATTTTCTTTAAGAAAGATTCCTTAGAAAAAAAAAAGAAAAAGGAAAGATTCCTTGATCCAATCTCCAAATAGTAGTGAGCTTTAAAAGGTTTTGTATAAATATGTGCAATTTTTGTCCCTCAAGCACTGTTATAAGCACTGAGTCATTTAATCTTCATTGTGAAACACCAGGGGTGTGCCTGAGTTATCTCACAAGATGTAAATCCCACCTTTTTTTTTGGTACTGGGGATCGAACTCAGGACCTTGTTCTTGTGAGGCAAGCTTGGCGACACTGAGCTAAATCCCAGCGCTGTAAACCCTGTAAGTCCCATCTTTGCAGTATTTCATGGACTCCCATTTGTTTTGTCATAGCCAGAACATGATAAAGTCCAGTACTTAGGCCAGAGTTATGCTGAAAGTATGCCTCTTTTCCTATTTGAATTGTTAAACTGTTTACTCCCTCGTTATTAAGTATTCCTGGAACCTGCTGTGCTATTCTTGGCTCCAGCACATCAGATGTCTCCTGTGTATGTATTGTTCCTGCCACAATACTGGCAGAACGATGCCAAAATATATGATAGGATTTCTGTACATTTTCTAAAGCATGTGTAGTTCTTTCTCATGTTCTGGTGGTTGTCTTAGAAGTAGAACTTGACAAGCACCTTTTATCAGTGGGACGACACTGAGAATTATTAGTACAGCGATAAAGAGCACGGACGGGATTGACATCGAACCACCCAGAAGTGCTCTATCAGAACTGTAGCCACGGTCACACCAGTACTGCCAAGTTCGTCTGCAAAGCATGTAGAAACACACCGGTCGCCTGAGGATCCGAGGCTGTGCCCGAGGCCGTGGTCACTGTCCCTGCAGCTGGGATGAGTGGCAGCCTCCTATAGAAGCTCCATGGCTAAAGGCACAGACCCTGATGAGGTTTCTGGCCAGCACTCCAGCTGAGATTGGCACCAACATGTTTGTATCTCATTCCGGATTCACCCTGGAGTCATGGAGAGGCAGGAGGCGAACAAGATCCAGGCCAGGTGCTGTGAGCCCAATATTCCGACACAGAACAAGAGCCCACAGTGCTCTCTGCTGCTGCTATCCTGGCTTTCTTCCCAGCTCCTGTCCTAGATGTCATTTGTAAAGTGTTCCCACCCAGTTTACGAGTGCCTAGGACAACAGCCAAGCCTATGATGCTTTGCACAAGAGAAGGTGAGGCCTGAGAACACAGCCAGCTAGGGCTCTGGAGTGGGTGGGGCACGTCAGACTGAGCTTCCATAAGTGGGCAGGGAAGAGAGGCCAGCAGGGCATGGGGGTATAGCTCAGGGGTAGAGCATTTGACTGCAGATCAAGAGGTCCCCGGTTCAAATCCGGGTGCCCCCTTCCCTCTCCATCTTTTTACCTCCACAAATGGGAGTAAGAATAAATACTGCCAACCACAGTGGCATGAAAAAAGACAAGGAACACCCTCAGTTCATTCTTGTCCTAAAATAACTTCCACATTGCAAGGGAAGCAGTAAAAGCCTCCACGAGAACCCATCCTGGGCTTTAATTGACACAAAATCCTCGAAGAAGTAATTTCAAATCTAATTTAATTGTAAGTCTAGGGCTAAAACTAGGCATGGTGGTGCACATGTGTAACCTAGCTCTCTGGGAGGCTGAGGCAGGAGGGCTGCAAGTTCAATCCTACCCTGTTCAATTAGTGTCTTAGTGAAACTCTGTCTCAAAAGAAAAAAAAAAAGTGCTGGGGATGTCACTGTGAAGGGCCTGAATTCAATTCCCAGTACCAGGAAAAAAAGATTACAGCCAAAAGCTGTAAACACAATTTGGCTATCTGATGTATGACAGAGTAAAGATAAAGATGTTCTTCCTTCCCTTCCTTCCTTCCTTTCTGGTACCAGGGATCGAACTCAGGAACTTGTGCTTGAAAGGCAGGCATGGCGCCACTGAGCTAAATCCCTGGACCTCTTTTTCAAAAAAATTTTTTTATGATGTTCTTTCAATGTGTACTTTTTTTTTTTTTTTTTTGAGACAGGGTCTTGCTTTGTAGTTTAGACTGACTCTGAACTCACTATGTAGCCCAGGCTGGCCTTGAACTCCAGGTGATCCTCCTGCCTCAGCCTCCTGAGTGTTGGGATTACAGGTGTGTGCCACCACACCTGGCTCAATGTGTTCTTCTGAAAATTAAAAAAAAAACAGAAAAAAAATCAAAAAAAGAAAAACATTTTAGTATATGCAGAGCTACTGCAAACTAAAATGAATGAGGGTCCCTTCTGTCAGGGCTGGCCTGTGGTGGGTGCTGACACATTCACACATGGCTGGCAGAAGGAGAGAATTTGGTGTTGCTCTCAGGTTTTTTTGGTATCAGGCATCAAACTCAGGACCTTGTGCTTGACAGGCAGGCACAGTGCCACTGAGCTACATCCCCAGCCCACCTCCAGATGATTTCTTTTCAAAACACCTACCCTATTTTTCTAGCTATTTCTAACCAAAGTGTTCCTAAAATGTGTCAGGCTACTTCTGTCTAAACTGAAGCTTGGGCCACTGGGTAATGGGTAACCCCCTTTCTGCAGGATTGGGGCTCATCATGGTTCAGGGTTCAGGCCAGAGCTTTTTGTTTTGTTTTTTTGAGACAAGGTCTGGCTAAGTTGTTCAGGCTGGGCTCAAACTTTTGATCCTCCCAGAGCACTGAGATTACAGCTGTGTGCCGCCATACCTGGTATGTCAACTTTTTTATTGGCTATTTTCATTCTCTCATGGGTTCCAATTGGTCCTTTGCTACACTTCCCTTTTTTTCTTTTTCTTTTTTTAAACAGGGTTTTTACTTTTTGTTGTTGTTGTTGGTACTGGGGCTTGAACTCAGGACCTTTCGAGTGTGAGGCAGGCATTGTGCCACTGAACTAAATCCCCAGCCAGGGTCTTTTATGTAGTTCAGGCTGGTCTTTAACTCACTACATAAGTAGCCCAGTCTAGACTTTAGCTCTCAGCCATCCTCCTGCCTCAGCCTCCCAGAGCACTGGGATTACAGGCATGCTTGCCACCACACCCGGCTCGGCCTCTGTACTTTCTGCAGAGAGCAGGAGCAGCGGTGCCAGGCTAAAGTTAGAGTAGATCGGGGCCGGGGATTTAGCTCAGTGGTTTCGCCACCTGCTGTGTAAGCGCGATGCAAAAAGCAATAAGCATGATCCCCAGCACCAATAAATAAATAAATAAATAAATACAGTTAGAGTAGATCAGAGGGAATCACTAGTGAGCTCATAAGCAGAGGCACATTCAGGTGGCCTTTGGATTTTCAACAAGCCACTAAAACAAATGGGGATAAAAAATCTTTTTTATTTACTTATTTTTTTTGGTACTGGGGATTGAACTTGGGACCTTATGCTTTTGAGGCAAGTGCCAGAACCACTGAACTAAATCCCCAGCCCAAAAAGTCTTTTTTTAAAAAGGTGTGCTAGGGCTGGGGATTTAGCTCAGTGGTTCCGCCGGCTGCCTCACAAGCGCAAGGACCTGAGTTCGATCCCTGGTACCAAAAAAAACCAAGTGTGCTAGGGCCAACGATGTAACTCAATGGTGCGGCTCCTGCCTGGTTAAGCACGGGTCCTGGGTTGGATTCCGAGTACCAGGGGAAACAAAGTGTGGTATGCTCAGTGGTGGAGTATGCTAGAGTACATGTGTGCAAGATCTGGAAATCAATTCCAGCACCAAAAGGAAACGCAAAAATCATGGTGGAGTAACTGGATATATTCACAAAAAAATCTCACACCAGGAGCAGGGATTTAGCTCAGTGGTTTCTGCCACCTGCCTCGAAAGCACAAGGTCCCAAGTTCAATCCCTGGTACCACCAAAAAAAACAACAAACAAAAAATCTCACACCAGATACCAGACACAAATATTAATGTGAGAACACAGACTGTGAGGCTGAGGAAAACAGAACAAAATACCAAATTGGAAGGCAAAGGTTTCTTAGAAAAGGAGATGCAAAAAGCAATAAGCATGAAGAAAAATATTGATAAATTCGACTTCATCAAAATTTAAAATGTTAGCTGGGCATGGTGCCACAGGCCTGTAATACTGGAGGCTGAGGCAGGAGGATCACTCTGAGTCGTGGCCAGACTGGGCATGAGTTCAAGTTTTGCCAAAACTACACTGTCTCAAAAACAAAATTAAAATATCTACCTATTAAAATATACTGCTAAGAAAATAGGGAAGCCACAGAGCAGGAGAAACTATTTGCAAAGTGTCTGGGAAAAAAACTGGTGTTCAGGACATGTAAAGAACTCTTACAGGTTGGGGTTGGTGTTGGTCGGCTGTAATCGCAATTTCAAACCCAGCATTAACAATTTAGCGATTTAGAGAGACTTTGTCATAAAGCTAAATAAAATATAAAATAAATAATAAATCAAAATAAAACATAAAATGACTGGGGATGTAGCTCGAGGCAAAGATCCTTCGTCAGTTTCCAGTAGCGAAAAAAAGAAAGAAAAAAAAAATCTTATAATTTAAAAGTGAAGGCTCAGGGCCAAGGATTTAGCTCAGTGGTTCCGTCGCCTGCCTCGAAAGCGCAAGGTCCCGAGTTCGATCCCCGGTACCGAAAAAACCCCAAACAACAACAACAAAAAACAATTAAAGGCTGCGAAGAGCCAATTAAGGAAATTGTGTGTGTTTGGGGGTGGGTGGGAGTGGCGCGGGGATGTAGCTCAGTGGCGTGTCCCCTGCCTGGCAAGAGAAAAGTCCTGAGTTCGATTCTGGATAGAGGAAAAAGAAAAAAAAAAAAAAAAGTAAATAGGGAGGCGGGAGCCTCTGAAAGTTCGGCACAGGGATGCTGGGGGCATTTGCTCCATGGTTTCTGTTTATGTCTGTCCAGTGGGCCTGCTGGCGGGGAGTCAAGGTCGGAGGGCCAGCGGAAAGCCATCTCGGAAATGGTGTACACTCCACAGAGAGGCTGGGGCGGTCCACACTCAGGTTTCACCTCGCGATGCCGAGTCACTGCCATGGAAACGCACGCTGCAACCCGACACTTTCGGACCTCGGGCGAAGTAGCGAGCCGAGACTGCCGAAAGAGGACCACGGAAACCAAGACAGCCGGGTCTAAAATACCACAGGACGCTGCCGTCACGTGATGCGCAGCAGGTCCTGACGTCACCGACGCGCGACCCCGACGCGCTCTGATGACGTTTTACCGGAAGTGCGCTCTAGGCTGAGCCCAAAAAGTCTCCGCTGCTGCCTCCAGACACCAGGTCGTGCGAGGGCGGGCCCGCACGCCGTCGCTGCGTTTCCTCCCGGTCTCTTCTGAGCCTCCCGATCCGCTTGCCGAGGACACGTCGCCACCACCATGGGGGGCGGGGACCTGGTAAGTGGGGATTAGGGTTAGGCCTGGGCAAGGAGGGACTGAGTGGCGCTCAGGACGGAAATTGACGGGGGGGGGAGTAACCATGGTAACGAAGCCAGGCGTTCAGGGCCCCCCCCCCCCGAGAGAGAGGACGGGTCCTTAGGACCACAGGGATGGGGCTGGCACTTGAGTGGAGAAACATCTTTTGTTGTTTGAAACAGGGTCTTACTATGTAATTTAGGTTGGCCCCGAACTCATGGCGATCCTCCTGCCTCAGCCTCCGGAGTGCTGGGATTACAGGCGTGCTCCACCACGCCCGGCTGGTGCTGGCAGTTGGGAAATTGTGCGAGGGTCCCGTGAATGGTGGCTCCTGATGTTTGTGTGCTGGTTGGGGGATGTTGAGAACATGGCACATGAGTTTTTTCGTTTTTCGATTTAATTATTAATTTCTGTCCTGGGGATGGGAATCCAGGGCCTTGTTTCACTGAGCTACACCCCCAACCCAGCTTTGTTTCCTACATTTTATCTCAAAACACATTTCCCCTTCTTAGCTAGTTCAGAGTCCTGTGCCGGGCTGGAGCAGGGGTGCTTGGGCCCAGTTCTCCCTGCTCCTGAGCCACGCCTTTTGAAGTCCATGTTAAGGAATCTTAGGTCCACCTGCCTGACTTGCCCTCCTGCATCAGTGCTGCCTTCTGAGCTGAGCTGTGGTGACAGTGCTTCCTTCTGTAGTCACAACACTTACATAAGTGGCAATTGCTCTTCAGTGCTGCAGCTCATTTGTGAGTGACTAAGGCTTCAGATTAGGCAAAGGGTGCCGTGCAACCTTCCGGCGGTGGAGTGGATGAAACCAGCAGCTGGGTCAGCCTGAACATCTGTCCCAGAGTCGGGTTAGAGTTTGTCAGATGTTGTCACACTGGGTTCCAGAACGCCATCAAGGTTCATGGCAGTTGAGTGCGTTATTCAGGAGATTGTTCTGCGTGTGTGTGTGTGTGTGTGTGTGTGTGTGTGTGTGTTCAGCATCGCTGGACTCAGTAACACCCTCGTTCCCCAGTTATGACAAAGAAAAATATCTTCAGACATTGTCACCTGTTCTCTGGGGCCAAATCACCATGGTTAAAGGAAAGAAGGCAGCCAGCCGGGCTGTGTCCCCTTGTTCCTCCTCTTCTCTTTACCCTCACAGAATGCTCCTCCTCCCTCTCCTCCACCAGTCACTGCTTTGGGTCTGGCTGCCCCTTGGGAGGCTTCCCTGAGGAGGAAGCATGGAAGGATGGGGCAGAGGGAAGAGCATTCAGACACAGCCCCAGTGGCAGAAAGATCACACTCCAAATCATTCTGTGAGCCGGGATCTGAGCTCAAGCTGATGGAGAAGGGGTGCACGGTGAACCCAACTAAGAAGGAGGCTCAGGGCCTCACGAACCTGTGCAGGGGCAGAACTTTGTCTTATGGTGCTGGACACAGGGAAGAGGCGTGGCCATCTGTCATGCGGAGAGTGGGCAGGATTATAAAGGCCAAATAAGATGACATGCACAAGGCACCTGGCAGGTGGAAAGAGTATAATCAAGGAGAGCTCTCTTATCTTGGTTTTCTCTCTCCTTCCTCAGCTGCCTTTTCCCTTAGGTCATATAGTCTTTCTTTCTGTCTTGTGCTCAGTTCTTCCTTCCTTCTTCCACCTTGGGTTGGAGTCCTGATCCTGCCTTATCTCAAACTTGCAGCAATTCTCCCGCCTCAGCCTCCTGAGTATGTCACCATGCTGGGCCATTTTTGTTTTAGTGTTTTGGTGCTGGGAGCTCACATATGCTAGGGAAGCACTTGATACTGAGCTCCCCGAATGCTGACATCTGGCCCACACTGCTTGCCTAGTCACACCCCGGCGATGGCAGTGTGTGAGGCGGAGCTGCATCCCCAAAGTTGAACTGCACTCTCTCTCCTCTGCCGCAGAACCTGAAGAAGAGCTGGCACCCGCAGACCCTCCGCAATGTGGAGAAGGTGTGGAAGGCCGAGCAGAAGCATGAGGCTGAGCGGAAGAAGATTGAGGAGCTGCAGCGGGAGCTGCGGGAGGAGCGGGCCCGGGAGGAAATGCAGCGCTACGCGGAGGATGTGGGTGCTGTCAAGTGAGTCAGTCAGGCTGGGCGGTGTCACATGTGTTGTGTGCTCAGTGCCTGGGTCTTGGAGCCAGACTGGCCTGGCTTCAAAGAGTGACTTCATAGGTGCCAGCTGTGCAGCTGGGAGTGGGTTTGGGACCTCAGTAGAACCGGGGAGTCACAGCTCCAAGTCTTTAGGTCCTCTGAGAACCAGGTGAGAGGTTGTGTGAAGGGCCTTGTTCCTGGAGGGTGGGGACCGACACCAGGACTAAGGACGGCTGTCTCCACCCCGCCACCAGTGAGTGTCCAGGCCTCCGCCTTGCCTCTGTGAATGCATTCAAAGCCCACTCTATTTATTTATTTATTTAGTCTGAGACAGGATCTCACTGTGTAGCCCAGGCAGGCCTCAAACTCGAGACTGTCCTGCCTCACCACTGTGTGTGCTGGGATGACAGGTGTGCCCCACCACACTGGCTTTTCAGGCTCACTTGACTGGGGCTCTGAGGTCCCAGGGGAGGAGGAGGACCTCGTGTCCGGCAGTAAAAGCTGTGTGGCTGCGGCTGGCCCCAAGGGTTTCCTGTGAGCCAGCTGCTGCTTGTATAATACAGGATGGGACAATAGGACAGATAGGTACAATTACCCTACTCACGGTGTAAAAAGAAGTTGGAGTAAATATGCTGTGAGAAAATAGAAAGAGAACTGGGGCTGTAGCTCAGTGGTAGAGTGCTTGCCTAGCATCCATGAGGCCCTGGGTTCCCCCAGAAAAAGCCAAAACCAAAAGCACCAGGATGCCAGAAAACTGCAGCTGGACTGAAACTGAGTGGTCTGTACTGTCCTTGCCTTGTTTGTGCCCTTGGTTGTGGCTGAGGTCGCAGGGTTGAGTGTGGCACACCTTCCCTGTGGGATGCGCAGGCTTTTCCTTAAAGATTTGTGGCATTTACACTTGTGTGTGTGAAGTTTAGGTCTAATTCATTGAGATGGCAGTATAAAACTTAAGTGGCACGAAAATGTTCTTTTAGGAGAATGGGGATTGGGGAAAAGGCTGTTCTGATATTCTAAGCTGAATGGAATTAGCTGGGCATGGTGTAATCTCAACACTTGGGAGGCTGAGGCAGGAGGATCACTGTGAGTTCGAGGCCAGCCTGGGTGGGCTACATAGTGAGTTCAAGGTCAGGCTGAACTACATAGGGAGACCCTGTTTCAAAAATCCAAATAAAATAAATTGAATGGAGTTTTAGAATTTTTCTTTTTTTCTTTTTGGTACCAGAGATTGAACTCGGGACCTTGTGCTTATGAGGCAGGCAGCGGAACCACTGAGCTAAACCCCTGGCCACTAGAATTTTTAAATAAAATACAATCTATTTAGAGGGCTAATACATAAAATGGAACAAGACAATGAAATTTGGCAAACAGCTATTCCTCGTTTAATGACCTACCTGTTGAACAACTATTTGGACTTATAAGCTGTCTTATTTTGTTGTACAGTTCTGTACGTCTTGTTGAAAGAGCTTCAATGTCTTTTTTTTGTGTAGTACACCTTGTTTATACAGAACTATAATTTGTGCTGATTGTACTGTACAGTACAACCCTGTAGTTTTAGTTCTGTCATACATCACAGTGCTGCAGTAAAAATTATGCAAATGCAAGTAAAGCCATCAAATTGGAGTTTCCTTTGAGCATTTCTTTTTTTTTTGTACCATGGATCGAACTTGAGTCCTTGCGCTTGCGAGGCAGGCGGCAAAACCACTGAGCTAAATCCCCGGCCCCTTTGACTATTTCTTTGTTCTGAATATTATAATGAACATTCTGTATACAGTTCCTCATTTAGTGACGAATTCATTTAATGATCTAGCTGCAGGAATGGAAGTTGGTCATTAAATGAGAAGTGTCTTTATGTTATTTTACTTTATGTAATTTGTATGCTCTATGTTATAATGTGAATAAACTTCACAGCTTAGAGGTAGTAATTCCTGGGTAGTTAATAAAGTGAACATGAATTGTTCACAAGATTTTGTGAACTCTTTTTTTTTTTTTTTTTTTTGGTACTGGGGATTGAACTCAGGTTCTTGCACTTGCGCAGCAGGCGGTGAAAACACTGAGCTAAATCCCTGGGCCTTGTGAACTCTTGATTTGAAAGCATATTGGGGTTTGTTTTTTTTTTTTGGTACTGGGGATCGAACTTGGGTCCTTGCGGTTGCGCAGCAAGCAGTGAAACCACTGAGCTAAATCCCCGGCCCCATCCCTTTTTTAATTCTTAAGTTTTGAGACAGAGTTGCTAAGTCACTAAATACCGAAGCTGGAACGTGCAATTCTCCTGCCTCAGCCTCCCAGAGTGCTGAGATTACTGGCATGTAGCGCCATGCCCAGCTATTCTAGAATTTTTTTTGTATTTTTTTGGTACCGGGGATCGAACTAGGGTCCCTGTGCTTGCGAGGCAGGTGGCAGAACCACTGAGCTAAATCCCCCGGCCCCATATTCTACAATTTTTATTCACCAAAGCATGACATGTTTCGTGCCCAGTGGGCCAGAAGTTTGGGCGTGTTGGAATCTAACTAAGGAGGCCACAGTGTAGATCAACAGCTACAGTGTTGGGAATCAAACATTTGTCCTGTTTGGTTTTTTTTTTTCCATGCTGAGGAATGAACCTTGGGCCTTGGCACCGGGGATCGAACTTGGGTCCTTGCACTTGCGAAGCAGGCAGTGCAACCACTGAGCTAAATCCCCAGCCCTGTTTCTGCTTTTTAAAAATTTTGTTACTGAGGTTGGGCTCGAACTTAGTTCCTGCCTAGCATTTGTCCTGTTAACTCTTGTGCCTGCTTGTCTGTTGTGAATGGGGGGGAAGTGATTTGATACTTTTTTTTGAGACAGAGTCTAGCTGTATAACCCAGGCCGTCCTCCTGCCTCAGCCTCCAGAGTGCTGGGATCACAGGTGTGCACCACCAGCCACTGACTCTGAGATGCTATATACTCAGCTGCCTGTGAGACAGTCGTGCTTGGTGTCTGCGATGTCCCAGAGTCACCCACACACACTCACTGTCACTGGCGCCCGTGGTGATCCCTGCACCCCAGGGCTCCGTGAGTCTCAGTGTCCTCCTGGCCCACTCCCCTCGGGCCATGGGAGGTGGCCACGTGATGCTCAGGGATGGATCAGTGTCGCCCCAGCCTCCTCCGGCCAGAGAGGGTGCTCGTGAGACTCTGCCTCCCTGGACCCCGTTGCAGTGGCCTGATGCAGTGGGGTCCCAAATACCCAAGAGGCTGAGGCAGGATTGATTATGTCCAGATGTTAGACCAGGCTGGGCAACACAGTGAGACTCTGACTCTTGGGGACTTTTTTTGTGTGTGCAGTGAGGGGCACTAACCCAGGATCTCATGCATCCTAGACAAACACTCTACAGAGGCTGCCTTTTTTATGTATTTTATTTATTTATTTTTTGGTACCAGGGATCAATCTTGGGACCTTGCATTTGTGAGGCAGGCAGCGGAACCACTGAGCTAAATCCTTGGCCCCTTTTTTATGTATTTAAAAAATTATTTATTTATTTGTTTATTTTTTGGTACTGGGGATTGAACTCATGACCTTGTGCTTGTGAGGCAGGCGCTGGAACCACTGAGCTATATCCCCAGCCCTAAAAAAATTTTTAACTTTTAAATTTATTTATTTGCTTGTTTGGAGACAGGGTCTCACTCTGTAGTGCAGGCTGGTCTTGAATTCACCATGTAGGCCAGGCTGGCCTGCAGCTCTCAGTGATCCTCCTGCCTCAGCCTCCCCAGTGCTGGGATGACAGGTGTGCGCCACCTCACCTGCTGCTGGGGTCTGGTCTGTGGGTAGCTCTGGAGGCATCATTATTTTCTTTAACTGCTTGTCGGTTTGTCTCTCTCCAGGAAGAAGGAGGAGAAGCTGGACTGGATGTACCAGGGTCCTGGTGGAATGGTGAACCGGGATGAGTACCTGCTGGGCCGCCCCATCGACAAGTACGTGTTCGAGAAGCTGGAGGAGAAGGAGGCTGGCTGCTCCTCCGAGACCGGGCTCCTCCCGGGCTCCATCTTCGCCCCGGCAGGGGCCAACTCACTTCTGGACATGGCCAGCAAGATTCGTGAGGACCCGCTTTTCATCATCAGGTAAGGGGCCTTCAGGGTGGCATCTGTCTGCAGGCCAAGGGTTTGTCCTCTTCACGCTGGCTAAGGTTGGGAGGAGCAGCTCTGGGGCGAGTCCCGGGTCCAGGCCACCTGGGGCTATGTAGCCCAGGGTGGCCTTGAACTCATGGCAATCCTCCTGTCTCAGCCTCCCAAGTGCTGGGATTATAGGCATGTGCCGGTGTACCCATATACTCATTTATCTTTGACCCTGAAGTAGAAATAGGAGTAGAAGCCAGGTGACAGAGATGGGCAGCTTCTTCACAATTTGGAAGTGTGTGTAGAGCTGTGGAGGCCATAAACAGGGTTTCTTGCTCCCCATTTCTCTTTTTGTGTTTTTTTTTTTTTTTTTGGTACCGGGGATCGAACTTGGGACCTTGCGCTTTCGAGGCAGGCACCGGAACCACTGAGCTAAATCCCTGGCCCTCGCTTCTCTTTTTTGGAGGAGGGCAGCAGAATCCTTTAAAAAGAAACTAGAATCTGGCTTAAAACCCCAACATGTGACATATAAAAGGAGAGCTATAAAATGAGATCATATTGCATACATTTAGTTTGGTTGAATTTGCAGCCCATTTCTTTTTTTTTTTTTTTTGGTACCAGGGATTGAACTTGAGTCCTTGTGCTTGCGAGGCAGGCGGCTGAAGCCCATTTCTTTTTTCTTGTTAAAACTTGGGGTCTTCCTGTTTCAGCTTCCCAGAGTTCTGGGACTACAGGCGTGTGCCACCACCTCTAGCCAAATTTTGTGTGTGTGTGGAAAAAAAAGAGGGGATGTAGCTTAGTGGAAGTGCGCCCTGGGTCTGAGCGCGCGTGCGCGCACGCACACACACACACGCGTGCACCGCCATGCCCTGCTCGGCAGGTGTTTCTGAGACATTGTGGCCAGGGGACCTATAGGATGAGGACGTTTGTTGGCCCAGGCAGGAAGCCCTGAGCACTCAGCCCAGCGAGCAGTAGGCAGACTCGAGCTGTGGCCTGGCAACGCCCAGTGGGGTCATCTGTCACGTGGACTTGCAGATGTCACTGCGGGCCCTGTGCGCTTGGCTTTGGGAGAAAGGTTGTCACCAAGACCGTGGACAGGAGAATGGATCAACTCCCCTTTCCAAAAGGCAGAGTCACGATTGTATAAATGCCCTTTAGGAAGAAAGAGGAGGAGAAAAAAAGAGAAGTGTTGAATAATCCTGTGAAAATGAAGAAAATCAAGGAACTGGTAAGTTGTGCATAGAATAAACATAAAGAGTACCCTTTACCTATTTCCCATGAGAATTTATCTCCAGTTCCTATTACCTTAGAGGAAAAGTAGAGCATTCTTTTTGTTTGTTTGTTTGTTTTTTGAGACAAAGTCTCACTGTGTAGCCCAGGTTGGCCTTGAACTCTTGGTGATCTTCCTGCCTCAGCCTCCTGAGTGCTGGGATTATATGTAGGTGCCACCCGCCCTGGCTAGAGCCCTTCTGAATGGGCAGAATGGGTCCCCTGGACAGTGGTTCTAGGAGCTCCCAGCCCAGCCTGCAGAGGTTCGGCCCAGGGCTCCAGGGTGGGGAGTGCACAGCTGTCTCCCATCATGCCCTGTGCCCAGGAGGGGACAAGGACAGGAGGCAGAGGCCTGTGTGGGACCCTCTGCTGCCTGTGTCCTGGGTGTGTCTCCATAATCCTGCGTGGTCATCCTCTGGGCTCTTTCTAGTTGCAAATGAGTCTGGAAAAAAAGGAGAAGAAGAAAAAGAAGGAGAAGAGAAAGAAGCACAAGAAACACAAGCACCGGAGTGCGAGCAGCAGCCGGTCCAGCAGTGAGGACGAGCCGGGCCCGGGCCGGGGCAGGTGAGAACGGAGGCTGCCGTGGAGCAGGGCGCTGCACTGCTGGTGGGGGTGCTGGGAGACTGACACAGCCCTGGGGACGTGGGCAACCTCAGAGGGCCCGAGGCGAGCTTGCTTGAGCAGAGCAGATCTTCGGGCGGACGAGCTGGTTCAGCTCACTTCCATCTCAGCCTGGGACCTCAGCATGGCGTGGAAGTGGGTTGCTGTGGGGGACTTCACTGTGTAGCCCAGGCTGGCCTCAGAAGCAGTCTTCCTGCCTCAGCCTCCTGGGATCACAGATGTGTGTGATCATCACGCCCGGGTCTGAAGTGGGTTTTATGTAGGCTTTTTTTAATGGATTAATGAGCCTGTGTGGGCCCCATCTTGTCTGTGCTGTGGGACAAATCAGCTGTGCGGAGGTGACTCATGCTCAGACCCTGGAATAGCAGCCTGAGGTGAGAGGCCGCGCCCACGGCTCCTCCCGGGGAACCTGCCCTGTGTCGTGGCTCCCAGCACAGACGCCCAAAGGGGACCGCAGTGCCAGGCGAGAGCTGGGTGGGTGGCGGCTGGACCCGGGGGTGGCTTCCTCAGCGAGTGTGTGTGTTTCCATCTCAGGTCTCAAAAGAAGGAGACAGATTCCCTTCCGGTTTTGTCCAAAGCCCCCGGCTATGGCTTACAGGTAGGGACATGGGGTTCTCTGGGGGGACTGTGGGACTGGACGTGCCTGGTGACCAAGGCATGGCAGGGAGCTCAGCCGCACCCTCCGCAAGTAACCGATGAGTGTGCAGTAAATGCCTTCTGGCTGTGTGTGTGTGTGTGTGTGTGTGTGTGTGTGTGTGTGTGTGTGTGTGTGTGTGTGTGT